TTTAGAACTACTCTTCAAGAGCTTTCGAAAAATATATAAAATGTGGGGGTTCCTTGTTTTTTTCGCCTTGCGACAGGGGTTGAGACGATAGTTATGCGATCTCAGGTCTATCCCCCCCATATGCATTAAAGGCAGTGTCTCACCAAAATTTGGTTGCCGAGATTTTTGTATTCTGCATGCTTGTCGGACCCTGTCTAGCACTGTATGGGCTTAAAATTGCACGAAGTTCCCAAAAACCCCGTTTTCTGGAGACCCCGCGGAAGCAAAGTAGACGAGTTGTACCTTCCAACTTCAGCCTCAGCCACAATGGCAGCAACACAGGGGAGGTGGATGCCAAGTGGAGGGACATGTTCAAACGCGTAAGGGGGGAGACCGAAGGAGTCGTCCGCGCTTACCAAGTCGCTCTCCGCGTACCACTTTGAGCGAATTTTTCTCAGCGTGGAGAGGGTCAAACTGAGTGGGACTTGTTGCAATGGCCTACTCAGAGGTCCCCATAATAGAATATGTGAAAATCCGCGCGACTCAACTTTGGTGAGACACTGCCTTTAACGCGGTTTTCTGAAATGCAGTTTTGTATGAAATTCCACCTGGCTAATAACTTCCGTTTTTCGGAAATAAACCGTCAAGTTGTTGATTTTCCAATCTAACAAAATCAATTGGTTTCGCATACGATCTCATCATCCTTAATACTTCCTCAACATTCACGCATTTGTCCTACATGGGTAAAACCTACAATTTTCCAAACGCACATTTTGTACGACATTCACACTCCCACCTCTTCTTTGAAAAGAAGTATTTTGAGCTATATCATCTCAAGATGTACGCTAAAATTATTAGGTTGGCTAATAAATAAGTTCGGTCGCTTTTTTTCAGCTCTTACAAATTCTGTAGACAATTTTTTGTCCAATGTTTGGTATCTCTGAAAAGAGCACTTCACTGGGTGAGCATATATTCTATTTGAGTAGAACTTATCTTCCCAGGAAAAAATCCGCAAAGAAGTAAAAATTGCAATTTTCCCATAATGCGTAAATGTGAGAAAATTCGGTTTTCTTAGTGAAACATTTTCAAAATGGCAGATCACAGTTCTTTTTGTTGTTTGCTAAGTAGGGATAGCTCCTTTGTATCCAAACACCAAACTGCTGTTCTTTACATCCATTACAGCATGAAAACGGAACTCAAGAAGTCAAAGAATTGAGCTTTTGGAAATTTCGCCATGTTGAGGCATAACTGTCTTTACTGACGATAGAAAATCCTGAATATTTGATATGTGATAGAGGAAGCTTCGAACTACTTTCCCACATAGAATCATAGATTGAAAACAACAAGAAAATTTTTTATGACAATTTGTATGCCAAAACGAACTTACTTTAGCCAACCTAATAGAATGTTCCATGTATTACTTCATCAAGGCAACTTGCCACAGGACTATCAACAAACATAGATCTACACACGAAGACTATTGATGCCACGAAATTTCCTAATATATTTTTGTTTCACTATCACTTCTTATCAATGGTGGTGTGCGAACGTTATAAGAGTGACAACGTCCTGTACTCAAATGTATGAAAAATCAGTTTTTTGAGAACCCTGTTCAGTATGCGTTTATCTCAGCAAGAGATGGCAAAAATTTTTAAAGACTCGATTTCTAATACGGAAAATTGAAGGCTTTATTGCTCTTGAGTAGCAGATGTAAAGAGAAAAAAACAAAACAAAAAGGTCTGTCTATTAGGTTGTCTCGTAAGTTTCGGCGGTATCGCTGCATTCACTTTCGAGTTCTCGTTTTACTGACGCATTGAGCGTCTTCCTGAGTCTTGACGGATTTGATGGGATAGTTCACTTATGCATTCGACAATTTGCAGACTCTGAAGAAGGCGATACCGCCGAAACGTTAGTTGAATAAAAGATACCAAGCCACAGTAAGCACCTACAACATGCCAAGATTAAGCGACAGTCGGAAATCTATTATAACTCTTTTCATATTTACCTTTCGCTGTAAGAAGTCATATACTTCTTAATCTAAATAGACATCAGGATACCATTCGATAGATCAAAGCAAGCTCTGTAAGATGACGGTGTAAACAACACTCAGGGCTCGGCACGAGGTGCTTAGTTAGAAATTCAAAAAACAAAAAAAATTTTGCGTCTTTTCGGTCCCATAAACGAAACCCGCATTGCTTTTTGTACCAGGAACGATAGCTCGCCTATAAGCCACCTGTGCCAAGCCCTGACAGCACATCACTTTGTTGAAAACATGGAAGTTTTTGTTTTGAATTCTAGCTAATTAGAAATATAGCAACGGCACATATCTGGTGTCTGATGTTGAGTGTATATGCGTGAGCGAGTGAGAGATCTGTACGATTTTTTTGGGAGAAGATATAAAGTATTTCCATTTTCTAGGCATCGAAACTTTTCAGATTTTGGTTTCAAACTTGAGGTGGAATGAACTGGTGCGATAGCATAAACATCATCTTATAGAGATTGCTTTGCTCTATGGGATGGCAACATCCTGCTGTCCATCTAGACTGAGAAGTGACTGATCATGGAAATGAAAAAACTTATGAAACAATGTAATACAAGTCCACATATCAAGATAATTTGTTTGATCCCCTTTTTCGTTTCCATTACCGAAGACGCAGATAAAGTAATAATCATATGTTGGGAGAATAATATACCAAAAATCACGTCTGGGTCCTCGAGTGGTACAACCGAACCGAGGGTAGTTCCACATCATCTGCAATATCCCGAGTGATTTCAAGTAATGAGCTCTTACAAGGCCTTGGTCAAGTATATTTATTATGTAAGGATTACGTTATCTCTTAGGTTGTCCCAAAAGTTATGCTGTTTCATATTTAAAAATTTGTAACGTTTTCCCATTTCGACGGATTTGCTTCTTTTTCACTTCAATGGAAAGATGAAGTCTTCTTTTTATAGCCGTGTTTCGATGAGCTCTTCTACTGTACATTCATTACAGAGATAAAAATGGAAGAAGAAGACCATTTAAGTTTTGACCATTCTGAGGTCGCTAAAAATCTGAAACGCTGCAGCAAAATCTGAAATTGTCAGTGCATAAGTTATAGACCTACTCTTTGCATAAAAGAAAAAAATTGTGCTGTTTGGAAGTTTCAATGAAAAGTTATATTTTGAGTTTACGATAGAAAACGCCAAAATTGATTAGTTGCCACTTTTCTCGAAAATCATAACTTTCCATTGAAACGTCCAAACAGCACAATTTTTTTGTGATGCAAAGAGTGGGTCATGAAACTTATACACTGGCAATTTTAGATTTTTCTGCAGCGTTCCAGATTTTTGGCGACCTAACTTAAAATGGTCAAAGCTCAAACGGTTTTCTTCTTCCATTTTCATCTCTATAATGAATGTATATCTGAAAAGGTCGAAACATTACAAAGAGGAAGACTTCTTCTTTTTTAAGGGACTGGAGAGAAGCAAATTCGTAGAGACGGCATAGAGGTACAATTTTTCAACATTAAAATAATAAAACGTTCGAGACAAGCCAATAACTTTTTACTGGCAAGTCCTGGAGAAACCAAGCTGTCAAACAATGTACTTCATTTCGTGGTTTTGAGTTTGGTTGTAAAAAAATGCTAGGACGCCGTTAGCTTGCCTCCAAATATCTGTGAAATTTTTACACAACAATAATTTTTACCTCACTGTGGCAGGCAAGCACCGACAAAAACACATATTGCTCAAAGAACACTGCTTAAGACAAGCTATAAGTCAAATTTCTGGATTCGAGCTGCGATTATGTGGAAAAAATTCTGGGTGATGAGCAAATTCTTCGTACAAAGCAACATTTTTTGAACCTTTTTGTTTTTGCACTTTCAAGGCTAAGGGCCGCATGCAATAACATCCCCGCGGAGAGGAAATCGCAGCTAAAAGAAAGCTCCATATTCTTGAGCTTCAGTATCTGGATTTCACGTTATGTAGATACCCGTAAGCATTCCTACTATCCTACACCATGAACACGTTGACCAGCAGCGAAAAGGCCGCATTTTTCAGCTTTTGTATAATCCCTGATGATCCTCGACGCCTTTCTTTAAAGTCATTGTTTTGCGAATTTAAAAAGCTTCCAAAGTCGTGTAGATTATCTAACCTGACAATGCTTAGCATGTCGCTGATAAGCACAAATGAGTTTTTGAAAAGTGAATGCCGGTAAACCCCAACTCTCGACTTGTTCGGTGATGTATCAGAGTCATGTTTGCGATGAACCACAAGTCAAAAGTTGGCGTTTCGAAAAATTCGATCTTTCAAAAACTCATTTGTTCTCATCAGCAACATGCTTAGCTTTGTTGTGTTAGCGCTAATCAGTACAACTTTGAGACGCTTTTGTTAACTTCAAAGAAAGGAAAATGATTTTGAAGAGAAGCGCGGGGAATTCATCAGAGATCATACAAAAGCTGGAAAATGCGGCTTGTGCAGCTTCTCGCTGCTGTTTAAGTGTTCATGGGAAAGATAGCAGGAAGGCTTACGGATAGGTACACAATGTGAGATTCAGACACCTGGAGTTTCAGAATATGAAGCTTTCTTCTAAGCTGCGACCCCCTCCCCAGCTAGGATATTAATGCATGCGACCCTAAGCCCTGAAACACTGTTGTTTAGTTTACCGTTAAGAAAGAAATTTCACAAATTTTTGAAGCTAGCCAGCGGAACTGTATTTCGACTGAAATCAAAATCACAAAATCCGAAGTGCCGTATTTGAAACTTGGTTTCCCAGGTCTAGCCTGTATAAGTTGCTTCTAGAATATCAAACACAAACCCAAACCTTCTCATTTTTGAATAAAGAATCATGAACTTAATGTTGGTTTCGGGATTTAGAAAAGTATTAATTTTCTTTCGAATTGCGCAAGAACATTGCTAATAAACATTGGATAAACTTGCCATCCTCTCGAATGAGATTGGTATTTTGATCGCATGAAAGTTGAGTTCTCAAACTATCAAGAAAAACTCGGGGTAAGTTGTGTTCTAGATTATCTTTACCGAAATTATAAGTCAAACCGCACCTTACAGACTTTTCTGTCGAACTTGCCGTAGCCTTTCCAATTTTTATCGTTATCCCATTTCTTAAAAAGTTCGTCCCAGTTGTCGAACAGTTTCTGTGCCAAATCTGTGGCACTGATTTCATACCTTGTACTGAAGGAGAAAATTTGATTTCTTACAACATTTATAGATGAAGAAAGGCAAATACTATGACTCACTTGAGCTTAACACCATTCTCGTGTCCTATCCATATAATTTTAGGCTCTGTGTCTCCCTTATAATATTGTTCGAGAAGCTCATTCATGTTCGTGTGGTTCTTGTGTTTGCGATCAAAATAAAAGAAGGCTACTTCCTCCAACGAGCAATTGTATTTCTAAATGCATGTTACTTTATAGTTTATCGAAATCGCAGAAATATACATTGGAAAATAGAATGGAAGTGATCAAGCCGCGAAAAAGTTTTTAACCATCAAATCGGCACTAACGAGAAAAACTTTTGCGAGCGCAGGTTCGAAACCTATGAAACCTTCGAAACCTAACCAAGCAATAATTTGAGGGGCTCCGACGAGTCATTTTCACTTTTCTAGCTATGTGAAACTTGAGAAATCAAAATAATACAAAAATTCTAAAAGGTATTTGAATACTATTCGTCAGAATCTCATACATATCGTAAACTTTGTCGTGAAAAACGTATTGACACTAGCATCTCGTTTGACAAATAGGAGGAATTACTAACAAACACCAGCAATCCGCCACAAAAGTACAGTTTCTATGAGAAATGAAAGTCATTAGCTAGCAGGAAAAGCTGAAGAGAAATCGCAGATATCCATTTTTGGAGGTTTGAAACAGCGATTTGCAAGGTTTTCGCTAACGACATGATGAAGTTGTTGTACCGGTCACACATCATAAATTATTGGCGAATTCCACTCGTGACGCGGAATTGTGCTTACAGCTAATATTGAAAGCTACGAGTTTGGATAATTTGGGATTTTGAGAGCAACCCCAGCTCAAAAATTTTAGTGCAAGAAAACTGACCGAAAAGTCAAACAATTTGATTTGTTGGAATTGCTTTGCGTATGCAAACTATATCTACTCTTCGTTTTTCATGGAGAATATGTTGCCTCACCACGAACGAAAAAGATTCGAGTGGTGAAGGTGCCCGACCAGAATTGCGAAAATTTGTAGGTCATTTCAAAATGACTAGCTTGACCGCATTTCCATCATGCCGAGAATATGACATTACCTTAGCGATTGTTGGAATCTAGTGCCTCTCGCAAAACGCAACCTCCAATGGCATTTCATGATCTAGCGAAATTCTTCAAAATCCCCCTCCCCCACGCTTGTAAACGCGGCTATTTTCAGGAACTGCCTTAAGAATTAGGGAACTTTGCAAAACCTAGGTGGAGAACATAGTTGATTTCGAAACCCAACAATAAGAATAGAAATTCTTTTCAGCTACCTATGCTTTATAGCAAGTAAAATCTAAAATCATGGATATATGACGGACCAGGACCAACCGGAGGTCTCCAGATCCATTCACTTTGCCAAAAGGTAATAGCCCACATTTCACCCTAAATGTGTCCGCCACATCAAATTGGTCCCAGTCTCTGTATCGCGGCGTATATTTAGTAGATTTAAGATTCCTGGAGCAGTTGTAGTCCACTACATCTTTATGCAACCAGTCCGTGACGTCGGATGTGACGCCGCCATGAAAGGTCGTTAGCTGTAATTGATTCTTATCAAATCCATTAAGAAAACAGATAAAACTCACAATAATAAGGAAGGATAACATTTACTGGAATAGTAGCATGCGTGATTTGGACGCTTCAATGAACTCACCAAGAATGGCACTTAGAGACGCATGAAAAAAAAAGTGCACGGCATCATATGAAAGGGAACAGCTAGCCGAACACTAGCCTTTTACTGCTTAGTATTCAGGTATTTGTTTGTTATCAGAGCATGTCACCATATTTTGATCACATCAGGAGTTTGATTTTGTGAATTGTGATCATGTACGAAGCACAGTGTTACAGATTAGTTCTCTTTCCCTCTCCTTCCCCTGAATCTACCCGCATCTTTTCGTATGATATTAGGTTACTTTAGTCGTTTGTCACCTATCCGCAAATACAGAATGAATTCAGACAAATTTTATAGAATTATCTAACTGCCTTTCCTTTTCTTACAACATACATAGCAGTCATGATTTCAGACTTCTTCAGCAAATTTTGATAAATGATTTATTCACTGACTTTGCAAACATTGTTTTTTGTCTCACTTCACGAAAATTTGAAAAATTAACATGGAAAACTTACAATGAATGACACCTCAACCTTTAAGCGGTTCAGGTGTCATTCATTGTAAGTACTGCCTGATCCAAAGTGCGAGCAGGTCCAAGATTCGCAAAAAATTCAATAACGAGCTTATATAATAAATACAAGCAAAGAAGCCTTTCTTCAAGAAAAAAGGTAGAAGAAACATCTACTTTCCCGAAACTAACAAACATCTGCCTTTCATAAACAACGGTTACCTTTCCGACACACTAGGGGAAGAAATAAGAAAAAGCGTGCAACATGAATAACCCTAATACTGTGCTTAACTATCCAAAGAGTAAATAAATGTGAAATCCAACTACATTTGGATCGCGCTTTGCTAAAAGCCACTTGGTCGTTCTATTGACGGAGCAGTCATGTAAAGTAAATAAGAGTGCTCATATGCAAAAAGCGGGTATCGGGGTTGAGGTTGCATGTCCTTCCAATTTTAGGAACAAATCGTTTTGTGCTGTCTCGATTCTTCAGCTCATTTCTCTGCCTCTTTCCAACCCTACAGCAAAACAATGATTGTTTAATGATGAACCTGTCTGAGTACGTGACACGCTGATTAAAGATATCAAGTTCACTTCGCGCGAAAAGACCCAACAGAAAAAACGTGGGTGACGGTGGGTTTTTTGCGGAGCTAGTTTGGAACAAAGTCGAAACTGGCTGAGCAAGAAGAGGCATTTGGTGGTCTGATGTTGTGGATGATGCTTTGGGTCGTTTTTAGGCCTCTGAGGACGATGAAAGCGTCGAAACGTTAAGCCAATACGAATAAAGTTGCCACCATAACAAGCCTGTTTGGCACAGCAAAATTAAAGAAGACCCAACAGAATTTGCCAAAATATGCAACTTTAAAATTTGAAGCGAAATTCATGAGAATCTGAATTCTTAAGTTCATAATCTGGGAAGGTACAGTACCGCTCATGACTCGTCAAAATATCGCCGGAGTGCGCTGCAGCGCGCCGGAGTGCAACAGTGCGCTGCACTTCGGCGCACTGCAGCGTCCACCGAATTTTGCCATATCTGCTTCAGAGGACACATATGAGGACACCGTTCGATTCAGCTCGGCGAGATGCATCATCCGATATGTTGAAGTGCCACAATCTCTCGGGGTGCAGTAGATGACGAATGATGGATGGACGACAAAGCTAGTGCCTCCAACGTTTCGCGATGGAACCTTTTCACCATTTGTCACCCTTTCTCGTGGAATTCATTTCCTGCACAGCGACGACTTGGTATGATGTGCTCTGCAGCGTCGGGAAGAGCGTGGGTCGGCGTTTGTGGAGACTGTTCTGGGTCGTAGGTGCAGCGCATGATGCAGTCTCCATGACGTGTCGTCCGCGCAGACATGTCATTTTGTGTAATCCGAAAGGCGCCCTGACTACCCTGACATCGTTCTTGCTACCACCCGGCGCCGTAGGGGCGGGATCCGATGTACAGGGTTTATTTCTCTTCTTTCTGCTGATTGAGTCATAGGTGCGATAAGCTGAGAATGACTCCTCCAGGGTGAAAGAGGTCACAGTAGTCGCAGCCCCACCCTCCCCCCCCCCCTCCCCCCAGGATGAAGAGTGTTTTTGGCTTTGGCCATACTTTGTCTGTGTCGCCGATTTTACCAGATGTTATCAGTGTTACTCGCGTTACTCGTGTTACTCACGTTTCTAGTGTTACCGCCTTTATTGTTGTTGAGTATTAAAATGACCTCCACTACCGTCTCATTTTCTCGGACGACACCTCACCAGTTGATGAGATTCGTACTACTACTGATGCCGATTGCTGTTTTAAATTCGGCTATTCTTCAAGGCAGTGGCTCGGGGAAAATTACGACTGCAAGCATTCCACAATTACATGGCCTTTTGGATGCGCTGAGTTTATTGCTGTGCTTGAATCGTCAAAAAAATTTTTACGGCGGTTTCCTACCATGGAAATAATTGGAGGGAGTAGGGAGAGATCTCCTCATAAATAGCTACTGGCTGCAATAGACTGTAACTCTACCCGTTTTGGCGGTAACTGGCTGATCGGTTCAGGCAGCCAATCGCGACACAGTTGACAATCGCTCGTCCATTCTCTTCCAAAAATCTCCAAGATAAAAAAACGCTGTAAAAGGTACTTTTTTGACAAATCAAGCACAGCAATAAAACAGCGCATCCAAAATGCCACGTAATTGTGGAAAGCTTGCAGTCGCAATTTTCCTCGAGCCACTGCCTTGTAGAATTGCCGAATTTAAAACAGCATTCGGCATCAGTAGTAGTACAATGACTCACAATTGGTGAAGTGTCGTCCGAGAATAGAGACTCTACTGGAGGTCATTTCAACAGGCAATAAAGGTGGTAACGCTAGAAACATGAGTAACATATCACGAGTAACACAGGTAACATCGGCAACACGAGTAACAGGAGTAACACTGGTAACATCGGCAACACCGGTAACAAAGTAACACTGGTAACATTGGCAACACGGGCAAAGTATGCCAAAGCCTTTAATCGAGGAATTATAGAATGTCGACCGAGGGGGGGGGAAATGGTGATGTTCTCTCATTTTTTTTCCTGATCAACGTTTACCATTTTTAATTCTTTGCCACCATTGGTTGTCTTTTTTCTAAAAAGGGAAGGCTGAAGATTGAAACCACCTTTTCTGTTTTTGAAAATACCATTGAAAATGTTCATGCGGGAGCATCTGTCTCGGGAAAGAGGTAGACAATTGTTGAGCATTTACGAGTTCTTGAAAGGAAAAATTCATAACTTCTGTAGATGAACTGTAAGATGTAGATGATTTTTTATCCTAAAAACACGTACTTCAGAGATTACTACCCACACCCTTCACCAGCTCAGATAATCGCCGATCTCTTCGATTAAGGCGGAGTTTTTGTGAAAGACCGTAAAAGCGCGCTTTCCTTTACCTTTTCTGTTCCAGTGCTTTCGCAGCGATTTTTCCCCAGCTTGGAAACGTATTGCTCAGATTAATGAAAGCGACAGTTTAGACAGCGTCCCAGAAAA